TACATCCTAAAAAGTAAGGAAAACTATGTAGGCTCTTATTCCTGCAAGTCTGAAGCTGCCTTGGCATGACTTTTACAAATATTAAGAGCTGAACATCAGCAACGTGACGTGACTGACTAGCGGGTGTACCAGAAATATCTGCAACTTTTATCCTTTACAAACATGAGCTGAATCTCTTTAGCATCTTATGGAATAAAGACAAAGTCTACTTTGGAAAAATGAGGGTTTTTTTAAAATATGAAGTAATCTGAGCAAAAATATTTATTTTAATTTTGAAAATACAAAATGTTATTTGTGAGTTAATTGCAGAGAAGCGATGGAAGATCTCACAATCACCTTTACGTTCACTCTCACACAATGATCACCTTATGAAAACCAGGCTTGGTAAATTGCGAGTACAACTGAAGGAACAACCAGACTGTGCTTAACGGAGTTTCAGCTCCAACTCATATAATGACATTTTAACAACAAACATTACTCACGAATGTCAATTCTGTGTTCAACAGGCAGTGGGGAGCCCAGCTGACAAGCTTAGGCAGACACGTTACTGCTAGAATCTGCATGTAGGATGTCCACAAAAACACATCAGAAGGTATTATTCAAAAATGAGTGAAATAAAGGCAGGGAAAATACATCAAAACCTGATAAATAATGAATAAATCATTTTGTTAAGTGTACCAAAACTTTATCAAAGGTGTATTTTAGTACCATCTTTGTTTCATTGTAACTAAACATAAATTACAAAACAGTGACAAAAAAGCTGAGACCTGCAACTTTCATCCCTTTTGATGGGATGATATCTGTTTCATAGCAAGAAACGAGAACAAAACGAGAACCACCAGATTATATCACACTGTGTCCCAACACTGCTCTACAGATGACATAATCCCTGATTATAAACCCTCTGAAAGTACTGAAAGCTGAGATCCTTCCTCCTTTTGTGCCTGACATCTCTGGTGCAGGTTATAGTCACTTCCACAAAGACAAAAGGTCTTCCACAAAGAGGTAAAAATCATTTAGATAAAAAAAGAGAAAAGCATTTTGCCTTAATTGTCCTGACCTAGTAGTGGCCCATGACTGAGAAATCTACATGAGCTTCCACGAGCATAATCACCTTCATGGATAACACACCTCCCAGACATTCACCATGCCTTGTTCCCACAGCCGCTGGTGTTGGCTGAGACATTCAGGGCTATCAATAAATTCTGGCAGGACCTTCTCAGCTTGCGTTTGCTGGGCTGGATCAGTTCCTCCAGACAGGTGGTTACAGAGTACTTCTACTTCTGCCAGACTCTTAAGGGAACAACACGACTGAAACTTCCACAAAGACTTTTCAGCCACATAAGATTTCTTTATTTATAATTTTAGATACCATAGCAGAAATATGAACTGTTACCTATGCTCAGCTTTCCACTTGTTTCACAGTTCAATTAGAAAAAATTAGGATGCCTTCTGTGACAAGAAGGCAAAATAACTGAAATTAAACTGCCATTTCTTCTCTTAGCTATCAAAGTATTTTTTACTATGGTTCAATCCATCTGTTTTTCTGAGCCTTCAAATGGGAAGCCCAAAGGAAGATGAAAAGATGGAGAATTGTCAAGTTTGAGCTATGCTACCTGGAAAACTTCTGGCAAATTTATTTTAAAACCAGTAAAACTCATCAAATTACCACATCCAGAAAAAATTAGCTTTGTATGCATCTATTCACGCAAATATCAGTGAAAGATGGGACAATTTAGAAGCTGTAGTAGCAAGACTAGAGCTAAAACTCCTCTCTGCTTAGAAGCTGAAGAAGTTCTCTTTGGTAGAGAAGGTGTGTGTGTGAAACCTCTCCCTCCTGTGTGAGCAGTATGATTTATATCTACTAGTCACTGTCTCACAAGAGAGATGAACCCTTTGAGCACCTTTAGGAACCATTACATAAACAGAAGTTTTAGCATCCATCAGGTTCCCAAAGCCCATGTAACTCTCCTAAAGTGGCCATGTCATTAGAAGGTACCTGGCAAGTACTTCATGATTTGAGTGTGGTCTAGAAAGAAAAGAGAACATATAGTGTTTCACCAATCTCATTTAAAAGTTTGAACCAAAATCCTGTTCACCAGCCCTTCCAAACATATGTTTTGCACTTTAAATAAAAGACTGGATTTCAGCACAATCTATCTCACATTTACTGTTGTTCAAATGTCTTTTAAAATTCCAAGACAGTGTCTTTGGCAACTAAAATACATTTGGTTTTGTCAATCAAAGCATGTAATTTCCTTGAGACATTAAAAAAAGATCATCGTCTTTTCCTCATTTTTGTTGTGCACAGGTAGCCCCTGGATTTGATCTGCACCTTCTGCATTTCAGTAATGATGGTATTTTAGGAGTCCCTGATTTTCAATCAAAAAGTAGCCATGTACTTGTTCCTTTGGAGAAGTTTTAAGAAACAGGATATTTGCTCCTAGAGTGAACAGATCGAGTACCTCAAATGCTGAGCTCAACAGAGACCTCTTTTGCTTTTGTTTTTCCCTCTCCTACACTGAGAGAGAGTAAAGGAAAAATAAGAAACAGGTAACAATCCCAATAATGCAATTTTAAATGAGGCAAGATCCATACCAATTGAAGCTCATTAAGGCTCATAAAATGCAAGCATATACATTACGGAAAATACAACACAAACCCCACACAACTGGGGCAAAACTTGCAAATAAGGACATCTAGCAAAGACAGTACATAACTACAGACATAACTACAATGCATCGTTCCATGACGGAACAAGCCCAATACAAACTAAGAAGCACGAAACAAACTATCGTGTCATAGTCGGCAAAAGTTAAAGACCCTCTTATATTTGATTAGAAATTTGACTTTCAAGTCTGGACAAATTTGGCAACAAGTTTGAGAAAGTACAGAATAAAACTTTCAGCCCAATCACCAAGGTCTAAATCACCTCTACGATAACTGACATTAAAATAGCAAATTATTTATAAGCTGGCTAAACAATCATTTATACACAAAGAATTGACAGTGGATTCACTGTGCACTTTAATGCACAGTGTTAATATGTTCAGGTTACACCAAAATGTAGAAATTTAGGCTAAGGATCACTTCTTGTTGACAAGTTAGAATTATGAAGGACAGTTAAAAAAAGTAAGGCCTGAACAAACACTAGATAATGATATTCAAAGAACAGCTGGTTTATTGGATATTGAGACTGATGACATGCAGCTCTTTGAAATGCTTTATTTGGACATGTTTGTTCTCAGGAGAATGTTATGACAAAGGTTCTTATTGACAGGCTGGAGGCATGGCCACAAAGTGCTCAGAATTCTCAGACTGCCAGTGAACTTGTTAGATGTTCTCTGGGTAACATTTAAGTGTGGTACTGAGGAAATGTGCTGCTTTTCCTTGATTCTGATAGCAAAACCAAAAAATACGACTTGAAATCAGCAAATACAACCATCTTGTGTGTGATGGCAACTCGGCTGAGCAACAGAGGTATTATTTAACTTTATTAAGAAAAAAGTAATCGGAGAAAACAATGAGTAGTCAAAAACAAGCTCTCTCTAGATTAGATAGGTATTTTCTCTAAGGAAACACAAGACTGTCACAATACCTTCTTTAATATGAGATAACAATGCCTTCAGATACCTCACTTACTCAAACCCTGATCAAGAGCTGAAAGGTGATTCCTGAGAAAACAACTGTGTCAGTGGGACAATCCAGCTACCAGATGCTGGCTGCTTTAAGTGAGATGGGAGTAGAAACAGACCCGAATAAGAAATGGCGTTTTTGATCACAAAGAACTGGAACTTTTTCCAAGAAACAGATTCACATCCTAATAGAAAACGTTAGATACTATGATTTCCCACCCCCCCCGGTTGTCACGTTTTCATAACACTCATGAATATGCTGAATAAAGTTCTCTGGATACTTCTAGTCCTACCTCTCCAGCTCCCCGACGTCCCTGGCAACTCTCCTGTGAAAGAACCAAGGGCCAGAAATGCTGGGGGCCTGTCCCCGTAGAAACCCCCAGGCAGCCCACGAGCCAAGCAAACTGGCAGGAAACCAGGCAGGCTCCTAATCGAAGTTTTGCTGACACTAACAAATTCCCTCAGATGTTTTGATTTTAATCAGAATTTGCTGACTGAAAACACTCTATGAAGAAAGTTCCACCAGGTTTATGCAAGAGCAACATGATGCACGTAACTGAATTGCCAGTTTAAAAAAAAAAAAAAAAAAAAAAAAAAAAAAAAAGAAAAAAAGAAAAAAAAGGATATTTTAGTGGTCCTTTTATGTGACGTGCCTGGTACCCAAGTATTTAAATAAATGCCTAAAATGGCCTCTCTAACAGTGTCAGAGCCTGCTGCCACCAGTGCAGTGAAGCCGCGAGAGATGACGGCACACGCCTGACACCGCGGTGTCTCCCGAGGCCCCTTCCCGCTTCCCCTTTCCTTCCTCCCTTGTTTGAGGGCAGTTTCAGTGGCTGGTGTTCGTCTCGGACAAGTCCCGGAGCGCGGCTGCCTCTGGTTTTCAGCGAAGAAGTGGCGGAGGAGCCCAGCGCCGCCTTCAGAGCGCGGTGGCACCGGGGAGCAGGTGCGGCTGTTTCAGCGCCGCGGAGCCGCCGTAACCCGATAGCGGCTCCCGGGGAGCGCACGGCGGGGCGATGGCAGCACGAACCCGCCCGCCGGTACCGGCTCCGTACGGCGTGTCCCGCTGCCGACAGCCCAGCCGGGACCGCCGCGGCTCCGCGGGCAGGGCGGCTCTGGGCACCTGTCGCCCCGCTGCCAGGTCGGCGCTCCGCATCCTACGGCTCCTGCTCCGCTCGGCCACCGGGCCGCAGCCGCCCCGCACCACCTGAGGGCTCCACCGCGTACCTCAGGAGCCCCCTCCCGCCCCGAGCTCCCGGCTCGTCCCCCAGGGCAGCCCCACGGCGGCCTCGGCCCCGCACAGCCCGGCGCGCTCCAACGACCAGGCGAGGTCCCGCCGGCCTCACCGCTCTGCCGGGGCGCACCGACCTGGACACGCAGCGCCATCTTCCCGAGCGACGCCGGGAGCAGGCGACGGGCCCAGCGGGGACAGGAGCAGCGCCGGGGCCGGCCGGCTATGCGGGGCGGGGAGCGGGGCGGGAGCGGGGCGGGGAGCGGGGCGGAGAGCGGGGCGGGGGCCGGGCCGGGGCCGCCTCACACGGGCGCGCCATTTTGTCCGTGCAGGTCGAGGTCCTGTGGCGGGTTCGGCTTTGTGCTCGTCCCGCGGGGTCCCGGTAGCCGAACGGAGCCGTGGATTTCAGTAGTCACCGCACCGAAGTGCTGCCGTACACCTTCATTTGGCTTTGCGCGGTGCAGATTAACGCACAATTTCCAAAGAATTTACTCTCAGACTGTGAGAGATTATAAGGATATTCTCGTTTTACAACAGCAGTTCACAAGTTGCATGGGAGTAATTCAATGTAGCATGAATTTCTTATATTTATATACAAATAGTCAATACATGGGCCAAGCCATCATGGTGTTGCTCCGTCTGTACTGAAAAGATGCAAACCGATGCCTGTGCTGCTGAGGCAGGTTTTGGACCAGCACAGCAGCCGGGAGTTGGATTCTGCTGTGGAAAGTGCAGTAAGTGTTCTGAGAGTAGAAAAACACGGAACGCTGCTTCAATCCAACAGGGCAAATAGGTGGTGCCCAGGCAGTTAAATCTGCATCCGAAGGGACAGATTACACTGTGATCCCAGAAAGGGGGAAACCTCTTCTATAGGTGCCTATAAAGGAAATTAAATTTAGAGAATAGATTTTTCTCGGTTTCCAGTTGAATGAGATGAATCCCATTTTTGCTAACCACTGGTGGTTAGACAATAGGTGGAGCCTGCGACAGCAAACATGGTTAAGTTACCACAGACATTTTACTACTTAAGTACTGCAAAGACTGGGTCTGATCCAAGACATTCTCTTTCTAGAGTTAAAAGAATAATTCAGGGTTAGTGGGGAAAACATGTCATGTAAATCAGCACAGAAGAAGGTCAATATGTTTCCATGATGCTTCATCACCTGCATTGCAAATATTCCCATGTGAAGCCTGGTGGCCCCAAAGAAGAGGCCCACTGTGGTAGAATGTCTCAGGAAATAGAAATTGCTTTAGATCCGGAATGAAAACATGAATTTGCTGGATTCATCTTTGGTAGCAAGGTTGAGTTATGACAATTTAATAGGGGGGAGAAGAAAAGTAATTTCTTTGTACATGAACTATCACAGTTGAATCACTTAACCTTACACTTTTGTACAAAATACCTTAATTAATTATTTGAGACTGAAGCAAAATTAAAACAGAAATGAGGTGAATAAGTTAAATAAACAGTTAAGGAGCAGAGTCTATGGACAGCACATGTACCTCAGTGTGAGTGAGAAATGGGGTTTCTGCAGGATGAGCCAATTTCCAGCTTGTCTGGAATAAGTGTGTTTCTTCCTAGCCAGGAACGTCTGTTCCCCCCCAGCCTGGGTCTCCATGTGGTGACAGCTGAGCACTAACAAGTGGAGAGCACAAAGCTTGTGCCAGGGACAGGCAGGGAGCACACACTTGGCTCCGTGCTCAGCTGCACAGTGCAGCCCTGTGACTGCACCTGATTTAATCATCATTGAATTATTTTAATCTCTGAAACACAATTGCCTTTCTATAGCCGATTTCTGTCAGCTATAGCCTGATTATTTTAAGAGGAAAAAAATTGGTCTAGTGGAATTAGTGGATTCCTAGACTAATACCTGACAAAACTCCTGAGATTTACCACACCGAGTAAGAATGTTAGATTGTGAAAATACCCCAGCCTATGTCAGGGTCCTAGGCCAAAGGACAAAGCTGCATTAAGTAGCATAATTTCTTTGGCAACTTTTATAGAACCTTTACATGGGAGGGGGAGATGACAGAGTAAAGATGCTTATGTGACAGGAGGAAGCTGTGCCATGAAATTCAGACTTGCTTCCATGGAAAATAACAAAATTCTTGCAGTGTTCAATGGAAGCTCAATCAAACAAGGGTTTAGGTCTGCTTCACAAGATACAGTACCAGGACTAAAGCATAGTTTTCAGCTTGTTTCCTGCTAGGTGGAATAAAACCAGCTTTTTGAACTTGCTCTTACTTTGGGTTATCTGTTGCTACAGGCAATCCATTCACAGTTAGATCCGTTCATTTACCATGCTGCTTAGAGAGGGCTGAACCTTCTCCATACTTCTTATAATTTAATGTTAAATGACTTGATTAAAGCATGTCAACAAAACCAGCCATTTCTGTCTTCTCCCATAAAAAAGGAACTAGGAATTGTGTAGGGTATCAGTGTTCCTTGTCTTTTTGCATCACATCGGTATTTTTCCTAAAATGCAGTTTTCTTACTGAAAGGAATGGCTTATATATTGTTAAATATGTTAAAAAAATACATACAAGAGAAATGCAACATATTTAATTTAGAATCCTTTGTTCTGCGAAGGTTAGCTTTTCTTAAATAGACATAGTCCATCAGGCCAAGCACTCACAGACTGGTATTTGTTTTGGTTGTGCTGCATATTTCCTCATTCAAACATTCTTTTCTTTCTGTTTTTCATTTTACATTAACAACAGCAAAAGGCCCTGAAGAATTCTAATTTCTTCCTATGGCTAATGATTTCAAGATTATTTTCTGGGCCATGTACCAGGCTACGCCAATATATATTGCCACCATTTAGTGATGACTTTAGTACTCTAATTCATTAGTTTGCAATGCTGATCACAATTGATCCTGAATATATTAAATAGTTTCATAAAAAATAATCAGCGATTTCTACCAGATAACTTTATGTTCAAGTTAATATATAATGGATAAACAAAAGAAGTTACTAGACATATCACTAAGAAGACCAGGAAGAGTCCATAAAAGCAAAATCAGTAATCAAATATGAAGCCACTTCATACTCCTAATTTAAACTAATTAATCTTTTTCAGTGACACAATTACATGCTTTCTTATCACAAGTTGACAATACTCTGTGAAGTCTGAAATGAAATAAATTTTTCTTTGCTTGTTTGCTACCTGGGCAAAGGTCAATAATACCTCAGGGCAAACACATTCTATAGCCAATTTCCTAAAGTAATTCAAATTGAAAGGAAAAAATCTTTCTAATAGCAAAAAAGGCGCAAATAGCACATTAAAGAAGGAATTTGTGATGCATTGTATATGCATAAAAATCCTACACGTGTATGCATACAGTAGCATTGCCCCTGAAGCTTTCTTGTCGCCATCAATTTAACTCATGGTTACCTTGGTGTGTGCAGTAATCACTATGTGAGTTTGTCCCTTGGATGAAGAAGACTGCAGATACCAAGGCTTTCCAAGCAGTTGCCTGAACTTCTGCTTCCTTAGTCCTAAATGTTGAGTAATTTACCTCTGTTCATCTGCCCTCAGCCCATAGGAACCAGAGATGTAAGTGCCCCCCAGAAGTGGGTTTCATAGTTGATGTCTTCAGTCACACGTTAATTCAGAGCCAGCCTTCATGTAAATAGTTAACTAAAGCAATTGGAGAAATTTTTCACTCTACACTCAGAAGTATCGTGTTTTTGAACCCGTTTCCTTTGCTGTCTGGTTCCTGTGGATTGATTTGAATAATGTGCATGTGTTCAGTGGGTTTCAAAAAGAACGATTCCTGCTTTTCTGCTGCCGTTTCCAGCAGCCTGGCAATGCTGGCTGTGCTTGAGTCGGACATAGCATGGATGGGTCAGAGTAGGAGCAATTTGTTCACAGCACAAGATAAAGGAACCCTTGTAGGGCAGATCTCTGTGTTTGAAAAGCAGGCACCGAGCTACAGAGCCACTGCTGCCTTTAAACTGCAGTGATGCCACCAAACACTGCCCTGTTCAGAGTGAAGTAACCATCCCAAACTCTGAACCGCTCCCTGGGCTGGGGGAAGGAGCCAGCACTTTGAGGAGAAACGCAGGAGCTGTTACAAAGAGGAGTTCAAAGGTGTGCTCAGCTGCTTGAATGCACAAAGAATCTTTTCTAGGAATATCTGAGTATTGCCAATAAAACAGCACTTACTTGCTTTAAACTGGGATTGCTTCATGTATCTATTAAAAGTAAACAAAATAATCCCCCAAAAGACACATAATTCACATTTGATGAGACTAATCATGGAACATTTCAAATGAGAAGGAAAATCTTGCTGAAACTTAAGAGAAAACAGGAACTAAGGAGATTAAAGACTAGTTTGCAAACTCCATACTTAGGCTTGTTGCCATGTGAACAATCTTTTGATATTTTGTAGTACATTATAGAAAAAAAGCAAATTGATACAAGGTAAAAATTTTGTTTAACTATTGACATTTTTGCTAGACAAATTAGAATGTGTGAAAGAAATTATAAAATAATTTTAAAATTATCATAAAATTTGATGCCTTTGGTATATCTAGTAGAAAGGTGCATGTTGAAGCATTATATTTAACAATTTAAATGTGAGGTGTTACAAATGTTCTTATTTCTGCTGAGTAGCATGATACACTTTATCCAAAGCTGAATTTCAGGAAGGTGGATATACATGTGTTAGCAGAGGAGCCATTTACAGCACAGAGATTACTGGTAAATATAACAGTATGAAAGGTATTGGACAACAGATGTATAAAAACTATTATTCAGAGTTGTTTCCGTTATCATAGTTCCCAGATTCATATTCTTCATCATCATCTTCATCAGAATTGTCATAATAGTCCTCATATTCAATGCTGTAGCTTGCACTTCTACTTCCAGCAGTAAATGCAAATGGAGGAGATGGGTCTGCAAAGCATAATTGAATCCAGATTAAAATAGTTGAAGATAGGAACAAAGTTGAAAGTACAGGTTTGGATTCATATAGCAAGTTCAGTGTTTCTGAATCCTTGTTATCTATGAAAAGAAGAGGGGTTTTATCTGATGACTTGACCTCATACCACTGAAGCTTGTGATACATGAGCAAATTTCTGTATAGAATCGTGGAATCGCAGAATAATTTGGGTTGGAAGGGACACTGAAGCTCATCTCATTCACCCCGTGCCGCGGGCAGGGACACCTCCCACCAGCCCAGGTTGCTCCAAGCCCCGTCCAACCTGGCCTTGGACACTTCCAGGGATGGGGCAGCCACAGCTTCTCTGGGCAACCTGTGCCAGGGCCTCACCATCCTCACAGCCAAAAATTTATTCCTAAAATCTAATCTAAGTCTCTCATATTTTAGCTTAAAACTGTTCTACCTTGTCCAACCACTGTCTGTCCTGCCTGTATAAAAAGTCCCTCTCCCTCCTTTTTATAAGCCCCCTTTAGGCACTGGAAGGGGCTCTGGGGTCTCCCCAGAGCCGTCTCTTCTCCAGGCTTAACACCACCATCTTGCTCAGCCTGTCTCCATAGCAGAGGTGCTCCAACGCTTGGAGCATTTCTGTGGCATCCTCTGACCCACGCTAACAGGTCCACATCTTTCCTGTGCTGAGGACATATTGAAAATGCATTTAATTCTCAATACTAGTAAACTATGAGGTCTGTCCTCTGCAGGTCCTCTGCACCTGCAAGTATTACCAAAGGCAGAAAAGCTTTGAAAGCCACTTGCAGAAACTAGATTAGTGACAAACTCCTCTAGATCAGGAGGCAAATATAAGACAATGTATCCTTATTCTAAATTTGCCAGGAAAGCCAGTTCCTTGGAGGAAAAAGGATGTTATTCTGAAAGTCTGGGCCCAATAAAAAACAACAGCAGAGCTACTTCTTACATCTTTCTAATCACTCTCATTAAGGAACAAAAACTGTTTCCTTCCTAATTTTTTGAAAAATAAACAGCTAAGCAGACCTGCCATGGTTCAAAGACTCCCTCAGCTACAACAGCTGTTGTCCTGGGTCCTACTAATATCAAAGGACTTCTGTAGGATAAGGATATGTCTCAGCTGTATGGCTCTAATCCACAGCTTTCTGTTTTCTGGGAGCTGGTATAATTTGCAGCAAAATATTACAATATCAACCCATTAGGGGATAAAGTAAAAGAAAAGCACACAGAAAAGTTAAAATATGGGCACTTTTGGGTAATTTCTCCTATCCTTCATCTGCATTCTGACAAACCCATCCTTTGCAGCCTGTTTGTATGCATTTTTATATTCTTTACATCCAAATAAAAAAAATTACCGTCAACAACTTTCAGTCTTGCAGAGGCATATGTTGCACCATACTTATTTCTGGTGTGGCATATGTAAATGCCTTCATCTGACTTTTTGAGTCCTTGAATCTGCAGCCAACCTGTCACACCATACTTCTGAGGCCCACCTCTTGCCTTTGAGAAGGAAAGAAATGTTTGAAATTAAGTAGCTAGGAGACACCATGATATTTCTCAAAATAATTGTGAATGGATTAAATATCATTACAACCTTTGCTTTTTTTTTAGTGCCATTGTGCTTTGGTTCTGTTTGTTCCTGCTCTATGTTTTACCCTCTTACTGCTCTGCACCTCTGGGTTCATGTGCTCCCATCTCCGCTCTTTCACCTTCATTGCCCTTCACAGTTCTCTCATTCCTGTTCCTTCTCGTGCTGCTGATTCCCAGCGCTCCTCCTGTCTCTTGTCCCAGCACCACTTGCTGCTCCTTCAAAGCATTGCCCCCTGTTCTCAAGCTCAGCAATTTCTTCAGGATGAGAGCGGGGAGTGGATCTGGGTGAGTTGTTCAGGGCCAAGGGGCCTGCCCAAGCTGTCACTCAGCAGCCAGGTTTTAGTGGATTGGCATGACATTGCAGGAGCTTTCACACTTCATGACAATCAGTTTCTACTGGCCTGGACTAGAGCCTCCTAAAGGGGTGAGCTTTCTTTGCCAAATAAATAATGCAAACCCATTCAAAGATGTTAACAGAGATGCTCTCATGCTGAATGTATTAATGAGATAGGTAAACAGGGGTCAGTTTAGCCTCTGAGGTGACCAACATTTGTATGTGGCTCCTTGCACCATTGTCTCTCAGCAACTTTAAATCCACTAATCCCACCTGTGTTCATTCTGCCTCTGGAAGAATTTCTAAATAACTTCCACTTCTGGTACTTTGGTATTTTTGGTACTTTAATTAGCTTTTTCTATGTTTTTCCTCTCTACCTTTTTTTCAGGTTGTGCCCCATGTCCATTGGATCTGACTGCTTTTGGGCTGTGTATCCAAAAATTTGCCATGCATTTCACTGCATAGTCTCTGCTCATGTTTTTTGACCATTGGAGAATGCATTAGTACAGGCTTCAGCCTTCCTGCAGGCTGCCTGTACAGCTGGCATCGTTTGCCAGCCCAGAATGTTATTTCCATTTAAAAGCGTTAACATTTTGATTTATTTGGTTTCAGCTAAAACTTTCAGCTTATTTCTAGACTTGCTTGAAGCCTATACCAATGCCATTCTACTCATTCCCCTCAGATTAAAACACCAAGGCCACCATAAAATGAACCAGTTTCTTTGATTTCCTTATGAATGCTTCAGGGACAGAACCCAAATGACAGTTCTCAGAAACAGCATCTTGCACAGGAGAACTTTAGATACCTGTCAGAACCAGGTTTCCTGCCTCAAGAGTAGAAAAGGTGCTGCAAACAGCCATCCTTCCCAGAATGTTCCTTCTTTCAGGCAGTAGCCTAAATGGTTCCATTTATGTGTTTGCTCAGTTTTTTTTCAGAATCAGACCTACATGAAGAGACTCTTCCATTGTTTCTTTCCCTGAGCAGGCCAGATGGTACCCTGGCTGTTGTTCCTTCTGCTGGGACTGCCAAAGCACTAACTGAAATAATCATTTTTTGTATAGTCAGAGGGCCCCTATTGGGAATCTATTTATTGCAACAGTATTGTGTTTTGTAGGAGGAATGCACAGATTAACCACCCTGCTCCTCTTGCCAAACTGTATGCCATGGAAAACTCAAGTTTTACCTGAACTGAGACGTGGGTGTCATCTCCTGGCAGAAACATTTTATTCCCCTTTTTTTTCCATTCAAGGTGTGGCATAGGATAGGCTGACACCTCACAGCCAAAAATGACATCATTGCCTGTGTAATTCTGGGCATCCTGAGGTGGCATAGAAATAACAGGAGCTGCAAAGAACCGACAGCAGTGTTTTAGAAGACAGTGCACCAAAGAGCACAAACACAAAAGCACGTAACATTAATTCCTGATGGATGTGATAAATTTCTTGAGTACAAGAAATTCTGTAGCAGACAGTCACAGAGTGACTTGATTGTATGATAGTTCTTCTGAATATCTGTTCCATTTTGGTTAGCTAAAGGCCAAAATACAGCTATTGTGAACTTGTCAAATTTTGGTCTTGCCCTGAACTTGCTAAAACATTGTCCTGCGCCCATGGAACCCATTGCCACAAGTTACAGAACAGCAGCATTAATGCATTCCACATTTGTCCTCAATTGCTATTGATTTCATTCAATAGTCTTGTTATGAGACAACGAATGAAAAGGATTGAATTCAATTAATTCTGTAAGGGTCTATGTTATATTTATTATAACTCTTACATTTCCACTTACTTGTTTCCTATAGTTCTCTTACCCTCATCCCTCTCCACTATTTATTGGTTGCCTCTGAATTGTGCTTTCCCTTTTCCCGAAGCAATAGCTGCCGGTAACCACGAGAGGGAGCCAGCCCGGGGGCTTGAAGACATTGAAAAACTAAGCAATCCCTTGATGCCTTCATACATGATTTCAGTACATATTCCTCTATGACTATGTCTGAACATACTAAGTGTTAACAGGAGATGATGATATTTAGCTGCAAAGAGCAAAATAACATATTTACTGTCATCGCGGATTTCCTGTTTTGGAGATCTCTGCTTTCTTTCCCCCTGATCTATTTGTTGTCAACAAAAAATGTTTTTCCTTCTAAAATCTGTTTTCCATTTCCAGATCAGTGCTCAAAAAGGAATTCATTTTCTGGGTCATTGGGCTTGTATTTAATTAGCGATTTTATTTTTGTACAGATTCCAGATTTCTGGAAATAGAAACTTTAGTAAATAATTAATATATTACTAATATATTATTATATAATTATACGTTATTATTTTATATTACTAATATATTTTATTAATAAGTAAAAACCTGCAATATTTGAATCAGTACAGAGGTGCAGCATTTATGCTTCAGCATTTGAAATTGTAACAGCCCATTCCGTGTTTTCAAGCAATATTTTCTAACACATTTGTCAGTTTTTCAGGATTTGTGTCTATGCAGAAAATATGAAATGCATACTGATTAAAATTAACTGCAAACAAATTATACAGCAAACTATCAATTTCCCCATTTATAAATACCTCAATAAACAATCTTGCTGCTCTTCAAAAGTAAGGTTTTTCAAACTAGGATACTTAAACCCTTAAATGCTTGTTCTTTCACGAGAACTGTACATTCAGAATCTGTCTATTATTTAAAAAATCTTGTATTCAAATCAACATTAACTGATGAGATCTGGATGAGAATTTTTTTTCCCTTCAAATCTTAAAACTCAGTGCAGCCACACTCCTTTTAGTGATACATCCAGTATCATCAGACATCTAGTTAAGCTTAAAATGTATCAAAACCACCAAATGTCTACATTGACTCACAGTAGTTCTTTGAATTACTCCTGCACAGAGGCAGTGTAAAAACTTTTTAGAGAGGCAGATGTTGCCTGGTGAGTATTTTTGTTGTGGTGCTGCCTTGGGTGCCCTGTGCATCCCCTGACAACACTAACATGGCCAAGGACTGAGTCCCAGCTGTGGCTAAGCCCAGTGAGGCCACCCCAGTGCTGTCCAGCACTGTCCCCCATACAGCTGGATGAATTGCACCCTGGAAATACCCCTCCTGCCATTAACTGTGAGGAGAATACAGCTTGGGAATGCCTGGGTATGGTCTGAGTCCCAGCACTTGAGTACAGGGCTGACCAGGACTGGCATCATGTGAGATCAAACTCACAGCAAGTAGTAGTTTTGATCTAACCAAACTGCTTTTCCTAAATCTGAACACTTGACAAATACTTGCATTATCTACTCAAACTTGAAGTGCCTTCAGAAATAAAATACTCCATGTCTCACAACACCATTTTGCTGTATTTGCAGAAGAAAATTGAAGTCATGAGGTACCATTTTAAAAGAAATTTATAAACTTCATTTTTGAGTGTTTCAGATTTTGTGTTCAAACAAATTCTCCCATGCATATCTGTGTGTACTTTTTTTTGTATAACTGATTAGAAACAGAGCTTTCCTGTTATGATAACCTGTCACTTTGATGCCTGGAGTAGATAATTTTTTGTTGATAGCCATAGAAAGCATTCTGATGTCTCAGCGTCCAGAGCTCAATGCGCGGGAGCTGCTTCTTTCCTTTTACAGTCCCAGTCAGTCATGAATGATCCCCATGTGTTACAGAAGACATAAACAAGAAGCCAGGAGACGCCAAAATACTGCTTCTGCTTCACCTTTCGCAATCAACCCGATAGCACTCCTGACTAATGAATTACATAATTCACAGGATATTTTTTCCTCATATTGTATATTATTATTTTTTTCTAATCTGTGTCTGATTTGATGAAAATGGCAGAAAATTTTGTGGCTTATTTATTTGGTTTTACTCCAAAATTTATGTTTAAAATGAACCATGTGACACAGCTAAATATAAAGAGAATCACTGCTAGACTGTTCTGTTAGTTCATTAAATTATCAGCAAGAGAGGTTTGAATGTGAATGGGGATGGTTTAAGCATGGAGAATTTGTGCATAATTAATGTACTTAGTAACTTTGGTAAAATATTATCAAAATAGGATCAAGACTAGCTTTCAGGAAAGGCTATTTCAGTATTTCTTTAGTGACCTAGGCCTTTTTCTTGTGATAGAGGAAAGATGAAAGGCTGTACTCTTCTGATGAAAGGAGTTTATTGTTATTTATTTATTCATTGGTTGCTGTATATAATTAATCTATTTGGCATCAATAGAAAACAGCTTTGAAGGAGAAATAACAAAACAAAGTACTTTGACTTGAGTGAAAGTTATATTTATAGCTTGGTACCAAAAGCCCACAGCGCTCAGTGTTTGTTTCACATGCAAATTGGTGTGGGTAAAGCCGGTGCTACAGAGAGCTCGCTGCTCTCGGAGCCAGGCTCCCCGTTGCCTTTTGTCCTCAGCTGCAGCCCCGAGAAAGCGCGGTGCCCTTTCACATGGCCCTGCGCCGCCGGGCACACACCGGGCTGGCGCTGCGGCTCCGACGGGCCGAGGCAGCGCCTCTGGGCCCTTCTGCTCGCGGGACGGCCCAGGCTCCGTCCGGGCTCCGAAGCACAGCCCGTGAGCTGCAGCTCGGGGAGGTGGGGGACACGGGCACTGGTGTCCCCCCCGCCAGTCCAGCCCCCTGCCCAGGCTGCGGGGCTCTGCTGCAGCCGGCACAGACACCAGCTGGGCACTGTCCTCCCCAGCAGCTGAGGGGATGGGCCCTGCTTTTCTTAACTCAACTCTGCACAGCACTGACATGGCTATGAACATTCCTCAGGCTTTGGTGCATTTCAGTAAGCTGAGCAGCCTTAAGATATTTCTCTGCATTCCTGGAGAGAGGGTCCAGCCTTTCTGGTAACCCAAGGAAGCAGCAGGAAAACATTGGGGGTGATTCCTGCATGCAGGGCAGCTAAGCTCATTCCTCCTGCTTGAGGAGCAGCCGTGTGATGTGCCTTAGGGACGACTGGAGGCCTGGTGGGTAACACCAGCAATTAAAAGTGGTAATACTTCCAAATTAAAGTTTCTTGTACGTGGCCAGTTCTGTAAATTAATTAGAGGTACCATTGCTTCAAGCCTGTGTGCCTGAGCAGCTGCCTCTGCTGCAAAGACACCAGCACTTGCTAACAGAGTGGCACTTCCACCCGAAAGGCCGACAGGCTTTCAGTTGTACTGCAGGCTGGTGAGCACGTCTTTACTGATAAGCCTCATTTCCCAGCTTAATACCCTGATGGCAAATAAAGGATTCTTCAATGGATCTTTCTCTTGCAACCAGAGAAAGAGGAAAGAAGCCTGGTATAAACTGTTCATCACTTTTCCTTTTAAGTGTTCAATATCCAGTGTTCATTCAATATAAAACACAGCCTACAGTCTAAGACTGCTAGAGAGGAGTGGGTAAAATGTACCTGAGTTACTCCCATATGTGGTCCTTTGTCAGAGTTGCAATTTTGGATTCCCAAAACTGTGGCCCATTTATGACCCACAGACCTTTTCTGCTTACTTCATTTGAGAAAATATTTCATTTACTTAAAAAAACCCCAGTAATTTCTCAGTCAGAAAATAAAAGCCTCTTCGCATTTTCATTTTATATTCATGTGTCTTAGGAGAAAGGTGCTCAGGAGTAATGACTTGTAATAATATGAAGAATGGGAACAGCACATGAACAGGAGTCAGCATTCCCCTGAAAACCCACCTAAGAATCCTTCCACTAACAATCATCACAGACAACTGTTCATGCGCTGTGTCTTTAGAGAAATTGTTTCAGCTTTATTCTGTTCTAATATTTGAATTTCTGTTTCATGGGTTAGCTAGATTTTATGATGATTCTCAAATTGGATTATTTTGGATTTTTTTTTTTTGTAAAAAGAACAGAGCTGTTAATTAAACCCTATCTTCTATTGCCCCTGCTTCACTGCTTACCATATATACTCACTGGTGGATACACACATGCATACATATATATACACATATACATACATGTATGTGTGTGTATGTATGTTTATGAATGAGATCTGCCTTACTATCACCACTTTAAAATTAGGTTAGTCCTCTTATAATAATAATCATTTGCCTGTTTCTCCCAGTCTATCCTATCTGTTTACTGATTCCCAACTACACAGACAACTTTTGTAGAAAAAAAATCATACTCTGATTATAATAATCATACTCTGATTATTCAGAGAAGAGCCAGTCTGTAGATTGATGGCTTATTAGTCACCATGTGATTTAATCGACTAGTCTAATCTAGAGGTTTATAACATACAAGATTAAGTACTAGCTGCTAAACCACATGTTTAACACAAAGTAGTATTATAACAGAATAATAATAATTGTAAAAAAAATGCCGTATTAGTTTAATAAAGCTAGATTAGAGCAGCTAGTAAGACATCTGAAAATAGAATCAGCTTTTTTTTCAGTTTGGAAGTGCCTCTGTACACATTACCTGATTCACATGGCCCTTTATGTTTCATGCTGATATTTCTTTTTGCAGCATAAGCCTTGTTGAATTGACAGATGTTCTCGTAGGTTTTCCCTTCGGGTCCACAGATGCTCTCTTGAGACTTGCACACACACTGGGGTTCGGGGACTTCCCCAAACCTTGCTTCATCAGCATCCAGCCTGCACTCGAGGTCATCCCCACACTGCCCATAAAAATGATTGCCCTGGTCCAAGTCGCAGATCTGACCTTCCACATTCCCACATTCCAGACAGCAGCCACAACGATCCAACACAGTCCCGGCTGGACAGTCTTTAGGCTCAGAGCAAAGCGTCAAATCGCATTTTCCACAACTATCTCCTTCCCTTAGCAGCCTCCACCAACCTCGGTGGTACAAGGCAGGGAAACTCTGAGAAACCTGTACCAGTGCTATCAGCACTGCTGTAACCATCCAGTGCTTCATCTTGAGAGTGTAACAAACAAGCAGAAAAGGTCCTTGGAGTAAAGCCAAGGGGAGGAAAAAAAAAGAAAAGATAAAGAAGAACAAGCTAGTGAGAGAAAAACATCACAATCCTGGCTTTGTTTTAGAATATAAACTCTACTGCAAACACAGGCTTCAAGAAAAAATTAGCATCAAATTCCTGGTCTGGAACTGATAATAAAAATGCATAAACCCCCACCAGCTTTTCTCTAATGCAGTTTGGAATGTGAGTATTGCTTGCACAGAGACCAAACTGCCCCCTCTGACAGCTGAGTAGAAGCTCTCTGAAAAGCTGTTTGCTCAGTGGCTCCTTGAGCCAAATTTGCAAAGCAGTGCTCTACCGAAACAACATTTTATTGCAGCTACTGTAGAAAGGGGAACAGGGTAAATAAGTGTAAAACGAAAAAATTGACTTCTATGAGTGCCCCTGCCCTCCATCAGGTAAAAAAGATGGTCACAAAAAGATAAACATGGGTACAAAGCAGCACCCAAAATCCCAGTGCCCTAGGGCTGAGCCAGTGCTCCAGAGAACTGGAATTGGTTTAACACCAAATGTCATCTATTAATGATCACAGCTAGGGGGTCCTGAATTTACAGTTTACTTACAGGCTCTATACAAGCAAGAGACAATCCAAAACAGCTGGAATTGACTTTAAACTCTTGGGTTTAAGATGAAAGATGCCTATAACCATTAAAAAACCCATTGTTCTCTCTCCATATATCTTCTTTTTAGTGTTTATAGGTGTCTGTGCTTTACAGCACAAAATAATGTGTTTATCTCTAAGAGCAATATGCAAAAGGTTTAGAACACAGACACACATGGGCAAGCTGCTCCAGCATCTTCAAAAGAAGATTCTGCTGAAGTTTTAGGTGCTGCACTCATCTTTTCATAGCTCTTCTCTGTCTTAGTTTCTTAAGATGTAGTTGCATTGTGGGTTATGAAGGAAGATGAAAGAGGTAACTCTGATTTCTTTCCCTGCTTTTTCTGTATATATATGTCTGCCAGTTCAGGGAGATGGCTTTGCAGGGTCATTGTTCACCAGGTGTTACACTTTTCTTTGTCCACCTCAGGATTTAGACATGCTCCCTACCTCCTTGGCAGAAATCTCCCCTCCCTTGCACTGCTGATGAGATTTGGTGTCTGTAGCCCACAGGCTGCTGTAACCATTGTTCAAACCACATGCAGCTCACCAGCGATGGATCTTCTTGTCTGTGGGAGGTAGAAATGAAGCATCATGGAGTTACAGACTCTACAAGTATAGCTCAATGCCATGGGTCAAGGATCACCACTGCCTACAAATGAAGTGTCTCTGTGGTTAGATTAAAATAACTCTACGTGCATCACAGTTTAAAAATATAAAATTATGACACTGTTATCAAAGTGGAATAAAAGAGAAGTCATGCTTGTCCTGAAATCATCCCCAAGCAGCTTTTCTTCTTTTATTATTCATGGTGCAGAGCTGCTACATAAGCTCAGTGAAGGATGCATTTTGTTGTACCAGCCTTGCATCCTCTGGGCACATCCACAAAAGCAAATATTTTAAGGTCATTTACTTTTTATCCCAAAATATTTCCATGGCTTTTCCCAAGTTCAGCTTCATACCTTCTGCACCTCTTGCTTTGAGTGAAGTAGCAGGCTGCTTCATAATCACTTCCTTCTCCCAAACAACATATAATGCAATTTCCCCCAGCCTACATTGGTGGAACACTTCTCGAAGCCAGCCTGGAGAGATCTGCAGGGCACTGCTTTTTTCCCTGTGATCATTGGGCTAATTCATATTCTTCAGTGCAAGTTTTTGCTTTGAACTTTGAATCAGATTGTAAAGGAGTAAATTGTGTGTGTAATTGATGCTTTTAACATTGAGAGTCAGAAAAAAATAGTAACCACTAAATTTAATGGGAAATTGATTTTTTTCCCACCTCCTTATTCTGTTTAATGTGTTTTATTTCACACTTCCTCATTGAGTTCTAATTGGATATTTAGTTTTGCATTATAAGGTCTACTCATCACTGTCTATTTCATTATCTGTGTCTACAGCTGTAGGAGATGAGTATCTATAGGACAAGGGTTTGCTAAGGCTTATATAAAGTAAAAGAATGTTTACAGGGGTGAAACCATATATTCAAAGTGGAGCCAAAGCAGGAAGGTCTGCAGGCCAGCCCCACACTTGGTAAGGCTGAGCTTTGCCTGGGGTCTTCCAAGAAACCTGTGATCTGAGGGCTAAAAAACAGTGTATTGCAAGGAAGTACCTCATGTGAGCTGGCACAGAGGAAACCCAGCACAGATATCCTAGAAAGCATTTTTGGCATTTACCTGACTCATGTAATCTGAATTCTTGGAGTATTCAGCCTCTACATTAAGAACTGAGAATGCCTGTGATCTCGTTTAAACAGCTGCCACTTGGCAGAGGATCTGCACCGGAATATTATTTGGCCACTGATTCCTGAGCTCACCTGGAACAACTTGGGGCAAGAGAGGTTAAAGCATTGTGGTATGACATGGAGAAATGGCCTGATAGCTGTCTGAGTGTCTTTCATTAGCAAGGCCGCGGTGACAAGCTGAGGAGAACTCTCCACACTGGATGAATGTGTGGCAGAGTCAGAGCAAGAAGTATAAAGGGGGAGGAAGGAGAGAGATCAGGATGCATAGCTGGATTTGAAGTGGCATGTCTAAAGGTATAGTCCCATCTGCTTCAGTAATAAAATACGCATTATTTCAATATGTCTCTAATCCCTGAAGCTTGCTTTGGTGGAAAAAAGTGCTGATTTTCAGCACAAACCTTGAATTATCTTAATCCTAAATATCTCCCATAAAAAAACACAAGCAGCAGTGGATTAATGTCACTGGTGGATGTGCAAGACAGGCACCAGTGCTTCCTGTACCCTCAGGCTGTGTTGTCCATCAGGACATGGGCCACGTCTTGCAGAATTCCTGTAAGTGATTTGTTAAGGAAATTGTATTCCTATTCATTTCCTGCCTTCTTCTTGGGCCCTGGTGTTATGCTAAGCTCCTGACTTGTATTGCATTGTTTTGCTTTGCATAGTTATAGGTAATGGCTGATGCAATTTGAAATCCTGTTGCTGGTCATTCCTGAGGTACTGCTCCTTTAGAAAAAATAACGTTCAGCTCTTCATTCTGTTTTTATTAGTGTCCATTTGAGTCTTAATTAAGTTAAGGTTTTTGAATGTGGCTTTTGCGAGACTTGCAGATCTGGTTTTACACAGACATGCACAGGAGTCCTGTGACGAATAACAGCAAAATACAAAAACCTTCCAAGTGTTCCTTTTACCTTTTCTAGTTCCTCTCCTTGAACAGCTGAAGTCAAGTTTGGAAACTAGAATGCTCTGTCTCTTAGGTTGTACTACCTGTACTTGAGGTACCTTTAGAGAGAGGAAATTTTGGCTGACTCAATGTGTTTCCATCCAAGGAACCTTATACTTGTATTATGCGCCCAAAAGAAGCGTTAAAGAAAAAGAATGTTTGCTGTTGTACTGGGTCAGAGCAGGCCACTGGCTGTGCCCAATGGGTATGTGCATTACTGGCACTGCACTGGTCTCCTGGGATAAGTTTTCCCCCCACAGTATCCAGAATTGAGCTTCAGTGGAGGTGTTTAACTTGAAGTGGCAACTGGGGGTGAGTAATGCCAGATGAAGTGAGAAAGGTGGGTTGCCATCTGCAGGTTCCTACCAGAAGTGCTGACTGGCAGTGATGCAGCTCAGGCAGTCCTGGGGTCTCCAAACAATGCCTTTTCTGGGGCCAGTCCTATTTGCTGATATGTTGCTTTCATGAATCTCATCATTAGGGTTGTAAGCACATGAACTATAAGTTAATTCTGCTGTAACATGATTATTAAATCCATTAATCAAAGGCAGGAGATCCGTAATTAACTTATTCTCCAGCATCAAGTAAATGATTCTGCTGTGAGCTTTAAGAAAGCAATTGTTCGCTAATATGCAACATACAGTGGGGCTATTAGACTATAAGGCTCTGTAATTGTATAATTAAATTATAAATTTTGCATATTTTAATAATGCTTTAATTATTTTCTGTGTAAAGTTAAAATGGAGGTTCATTTTTTTTTTGCATTTTTAAGGCCTTACATATAATTTATAAAAAAAAAAAAGAAAAAAAAAAAAATTAATGTCCGTCCTCTGCCGGTAAGCTGACGCTTTCCATGAAAGGCTTGGACCAGGCTTTTGGTGGCTCACCTGTCTCCACCAGTGGCTGGCTGCAGATTTCTCCTGTTACACATTTCAGCAGCATTGTTGTTGGTCACTGTAGGCATTCAAATTTTAACCTGCAAAGACCAAAGAAGTGCCTCATAGCACTGTGCTATACCAAATGCTTGGGTTTGCTTTAATACAGGTTTATGGACTCCTTTTCACACAAGCTAGTATTTCTTTCCAAGGGGCCAGAGAGTTCAAGGATTCCTTTCAAGACTGAAGTCATTCTTTTGCGAGGTGGGAGCTGTAGTGAGGAAACTTGCACAAAAGGTATCAGGAGGACATTTCACCCATAGGCCCTGCCCACATTTCCAGCCTGGCAAATCTTACTTGCTCATCTTAAACCTTTCTCTGTACACTTTAATCACAAGGGCAGTATGGAAGCAATAGCCACCACGGTTTCCCTTCCTGTTGAGGGAGAGGGACATGAAGGTTTGTTTACCTTCTGCCTTTATTTTGGGGATGCTTTTCCATTAGCTCTCTGTTTTGCACAGAACACAGTGTTTTCAGGTGTCATATTCTACTGCAGCAGACACTGTAGTTTAATGCAGAGTGAAACTATTTGTGTGTCAAAGGCAGTTGCTGTCTACATCAACAGTGCCATGGGAGTGCTTTCAGGTACAGCAGGGCTTCAAAGACACTGGAGCTTGGGGAAAACGTGTCAAACCTTGACACACAAAACCAGAAAATAAAAGAGCAGCACAAGAAAGTGTGTCTTACACATGCTGACAGCCACAAGCAGCAAGACAGAAATGGGGCAGTGGGCTGGGGGGCCTGCATACAATGAGCAGGAAAGGGTGGGAGTTACAGGAAAGGCCCTGGGATCCCCAGCCTGTCCCAGGGTTCTGGGTGGCACCCACTTACCTCTGTCACCAAGGCATGGCTGGTGTGGGTGTTAAAGTGTCTAGCAATGTCCAGGTGTGCCCCTTGCTATTCTCAGCCCCTCTTGGGTGCAGTGTTCAGCAGGTTGTCTGAAAACTGGCCTGGTCCCTATCACAGACCTGCAATAAATGTGCTCTAAGCATTTGGAGAGAGGCTGGAAGAAAACAAAACAAAAAACCTCAAAGCCACATGGTTCTGACTTTGACAATGTT